CAAATAATGGAATACAGTTTGATTTATAAAGAGTTACGTTATTCAGCCTGTGGCTTGTTATGTTGACTTTGCAACATTTCCAGTTCATGCTCCTGTGGGCTTGTTTATTGCAGTTTATGCCATATGTTGGACAACGTACACTTGCGAGAGTTCAAAAAGATCGGTACATTGGCTAAACAGGGACCTTCTCTTGTATATAAGGCAGAAAAGGACACCCAGTGAAAGCAAGGTCAAGTGATATGAGAAGAATTGAGGGATGCTGCTTGCCACTGTAGGAGAAAATTTGTGCAGCCAAAGCTCAGCTGGAGATGAAGCTGATCAGAAATGTGGGGGACAGTAAAAAGTTTTTTTAAATACATCAATGGTAATAGGCAGTATAGAAATAGCATTGGCCCATTACAGGATGAGGATGGTCACCTCACAAACAGGGACAGAGGCAAGGCAGAGGTGTTTAGTGCTTTCTTCACCTCTGTCTTCAACATGGATGAAGGACCAATGGGGTCTCAGTGCCTGAGCTAGAGAACTGTGACAGTGAGAGCAATCAACTCTCAGTTGATCCTGAAAGCATATGGGATCTGCTGCTCCAGCTGAATCCCTACACATCTCTGGGGCCTGATGGGATTCGTCCCAGAATCTTCAAAGAGCTGGCTGATGTCATCACAAAACCTCTAAATAATTTTAGAGCAGTCTTAGGAATCAAGCTGACTGGAAGCCAATGAATGTTGTTATGATTTTCAAGAAGGGCAAGAAGGAGGACCCTGCAACTCCAAGCCTATCAGTCTCACTTCAGTTTCTGGTAAAGTTATGAAGAAGACTATTCTGGGAAGTACTGGAAAACACCTGAAAGACAACAGAGTCATTGATCACAGCCAGCATGGCTTCATGAGAGGAAAGTCCTGCTTATCAAAACTGATTTCTGTCTGTGACAAGGCAACTCACCTAGTTGATCAAGGGAAGCCAGCTGATGTCATCTTTTTGGATTCCAGTAAAGCTTTCAGTACTGTCCCTCACAGGATATTTCTGGACAAAATGTCCAGCACACAGCTGGATAAACACGTCATGTGGGAGAGCAATTGGCTCACAGGTTGAACCCAGAGGGTAACAGTGAGTGGGGGAACATCAGACTGGAGACTAGTGGGGTTCCACAGGGCTCCATCTTAGGCCCTGTGCTCTTCAACATCTTCATAAATGATTTGGACACAGGACCAGAAGGGACACTAAGGAAGTTTGCAGACCATACAAAACTGGGAGGAGCTGTTGACTCCCTCAAAGGCAGGGAGGCCCTGCAGAGAGACCTCAACAAATTAGAGGACTGGGCAATCACCAACCATATGAAGTTCAACAAGGGAAAGTGCTGGATTCTGCACCTGGAATGGGGCAACCCTGGACATACATACAGACTGGGGAATGAGATGCTGGAAAGCAGTGCCACGGAAAGGGACCTGAGGGTCCTGGTCCGTGGTAAGTTGAATATGAGTCAGCAGTGCCCTGGCAGCCAGGAGGACCAACTGTGTCCTGGGGGGGCATCAGGCAAAGTGTCGCCAGTCGGTCGAGAGAGGGGATTGTCCCGCTCTGCTCTGCACGGGGGTGGCCTCACCTTGAATATTGTGGCAGTGTTGGGCACCTCAATATAAGAAAGATATTAAGCTCTTAGAGAGTGTCCAAAGGAGAGCAACAAAGATGGTGAAGGGCCTTGAGGGGAAGCCCTGTGAGGAGTGGCTGAGATCACTTGGTCTGTTCAGCCTGGAGATGAGGAGACTGAGGGGAGACCTCATTGCAGTCTGCATCTTTCTTGAGAGGGGAAGAGGAGGGACAGGCACTGATCTCTGTGGTGACTGGTCACAGAACCTGAATGGCCTGAAGTTGTGTCAGGGGTGGTTCAGGTTAGATATTAGAGGAATACAGCCACGTAGAGAGTGGTTGGGCAGTGGAACAGGCTCCCCAGGGAAGTGATCGCAGCACCAAGCCTTCCAGAAATCAAGAAGCATTTGGACAATACTCTCAGGCACATGGTGTGACTCTTGGGGATGGTCCTGTGCAGGGCCAGGAGCTGGACTGGATGATCCTTGTGGGTCCTTTCCAACTTGGCATATTTTGTGATTCTGTGACTTATGGAGTAATAAATATTTTGATAATATTGTAATGAGTGAAAGTATCAGAAGTAAATTCTAATCATAGATTTCAATGGTTGAGCCCTTGTTTGGTTCAAAGTATCAGTGATAGGTGAGCAAATAAAGATTTAATTTTTAAAATGGTAGTTTGTTGAAACTTAAAGCAATCTCACTGCTTGACCTCAACTCTGTGGAACAAACGAGGTGTAATTTCTTAATTTAAAGGAGGAAATTCTTTTAAGAGTATATGGGAAGATAATATCTAATTGCCCTTTGCATTGGAGAGATTGTAACAGAATGAAAAATATTTGGGGCTAAGCCATAGCTGGATAAAGCAAAATAAAAATTTCCTGAGGGCATTCTAAAAAGTACAGTTGGATATAAGGTTTTTTTTCTGTAACTGAGATACATCTTTTTTTTTCCCCCAAAGCTAATTACAGATCCCCAAAATAGGTAGCAGTTCTATTATTAAAAAAATAAAAAATCAACCAAACAAAAAAAACCCCAAACCCCTTAAGAGTAGCATTTCTTCATACCTTTTAATACAGGTATTTCATGTAGTGTTGTTCCCACTGGGTGGTGCTATTTTCCTTATGTATAGCCAGTGCCTTGAAGTTTCATCAGTATTTAGTGTAATTTCTGTTCCACTTCTGAAAATAATTTGGGGTTTTACTTGTTTCCCCCATCACAGTCTTGTTCTGAAGTAGGTGGTGACTATGAAGGAACACAAAGCACAATTGGATGTTGATAGTTGAATGATTGCGCATCATAGGTATTTTGTTCCTGCGAGGCTGTTGCTTTCTGGACGATGCTAGATGCCTCAACACCTTTCAGATGTGAGGAAACTTAATGGGTAAAAGTGAATAACTTTGAAATCTACTGCCCAGTACCTCTGTAAGGAATGGAAAGAAACTTCTATTTACAAAGTGCAATAGCTCCTGGTGTTTTGTTCTTCAGCCCCCTCAAGACATATAGTTAGCAAGCATGATTGCAATTAAATGGTGGCAAGTTTCTTATTACTTTCTGTGTGTCTGCATTAACCGGCCTATATTAAGTAAATATAGAGATCAATAAAACAACAGAGAGTTGCCCATGAAACTGCAAAATCAGAAGAGTAAAAATAGATATGTATACTTGAATTCCTCTGGATTTGGCAGGTATGTGTCTCTTCCTACCCACAAAGATAATCAGGGTCCAGTTCTGACTGCTGTGAGAGCCTTATTAAAGCATTTGTGTTTATAATGGCAAAGTTACAATAAATGCATTGTTTATGCAAATACTTTATTTACCATTTTCCCCATTACTCACTTCCAAGTGACAGCAGCATGCAATAGAGGTCAAGAATTTATTTTAAATGGCAAGAAGCATTGAAAAGTGGCAATAACTGGGATGATACTTTGGTTAAGATATTGCCATGGTTACTATTTTGATGTAGCTTGTTTGCTGCCTGTACTTCATTTCTCTCTTCTGGTATGGTAGAAAGTAGCAATCAGTGATAGACAGTACAATGCCATGGAGAGTTTTCAAAGCAGTTGGAAAGACTGTATTATACATATTGTTGCTCTCAGCCATTATTCTATCATCTGTATTTCCTTTAGTCTTCTTTCCACCATCTGTTAGAGAAGAACCTCTTCTTTACATAAGGTGAATTTCCTGTTAGTTTCTTTTCTCTGACTTAATCTACATCATTAGATTGGGCATTTGGTTAAAAACTCTTAATATGGTAGAAGTTCCCACTGAGAAACACCTGTGCCTAAGCAGACCTAGAGAGAGAAACAAAGCATATGTTTTTGAAAGTCCTCTTTGAAAATTTTTATTTTCTTACATCTAATTTAAAAAAAAAAAAAAAAAAGAAGACCTTGTTGATTAACAGCATGAAGTGCTGAGAAGGGCTTTCTTGTAAACTGTTTAGTTCTAATTCTGGCATAATTAAAAATCATAAAAATAATTCTCTTAGGGGTATACTAATAGACTAAAAAATTTCAAATTCAGCCTGGATTTTAAGAGAATTAAAACTTATTCCTTTGGTTATATACATATCAGCTCTACCAAATGAGAATTTGAAAGTTGTTTAAAGTTTGGTAAAAAATAAACATGGGGTGTGATACAAATGGTTTTCTGCTTTCTGAGTACCTATTTTGGCCTGACAAATGCAAGGAAACACTTCTGGAAATCAAGCTAGTCATGAAGGAGTTCCTGAATGAGGTCTGACAAACTAACAATGTTGTCTTATATTAGTATTAGGTATTTAAGTGTACAATATAAGTATAAATATACAATAAATTCATCTACTGTTTACTAAAGGGAAGCTTATTGGCAGCAGAAAAAGTAGCCTAATAATCAGAGGAAATATTTATTAAGCATACAAGTAAGGTTAGGTACATGCCATACAGAATTGGTGCTATTTGTCAGAGGTATAAAAATAAAGGGCAACTACTCAGGGGCTTTGCTGAGACTTGAGGAAGGTTGGACTCCAGAGCCTGTGGCAGACTCAAACTGGCAAAATACTTGACCTCACTCAGTTCAATCAAGGGGAATTCAGCCTTCCCTACCTCTGTTTTTATCAATCAATAGCAATTCAGCCTTTGCGGGACTGAGACAGATCCATCAGAGATTGAATTTTGTTCAGACAGGCAGCAGGGAGACTTTAGTGACAGAATCTGGTGTAAAGGGTAAGTAAATTTGAATATTGTGAGTGTACTGAAGGAAGTTCAGTTAGAGTGATGTGTGATAACGACACCATGCAGTAGCACATTCAGATAACTGAGAATTGTGTCCAAAATAGGGCTTCAGGCTTTTCTTCATTGTAATGTTGGTATGAAAGGTAAGGAAGCTAGCAAAAACTTAATCTTTTAAATGCTTTATTTTGGAGGGTTTTTTTTGTATGTTTCCTTTACTGCCTGTTGCTTTATTCCTGTTTTTAAAAAGGAAATTTTAATTCCTCCATTCTTCTCTGTTTCTCTGCCACCAGAGTGTTGATAGTGCTTATAATATTAAACTCTCCCAGGAGAATTTATAGGCATGAACTTAAGATACTCGTTTACCTTGTTAAAGAACCCCATCTAATATAGCAAGTGGAATTACTTAAAATATTTAAGCATAGTTTACATTTTGAATTGGCATGTAAACTGTGCTAGTTCATGTACCATTTATGACAAAGATTATAGGAGTTAGTCTTTGCTCTTACTGATTTGTGAGTAGGTGATCTGAAAATTGTGTAGGTGTTTGTGTTTGAGTTGGTTAGTTGCCATTGAACCTAACGTGTGTATTTAAGAAGCCCTGTAGTTTTTTAAAGGTATCAGTGAATGAAGAAACTCACATTGCTGGGGTTTGGAGGTTTGGAAGTCTTACACCTGTGTTTTAGGGTCTGGCTAAGGCAGGGGTGAGACACACAGCACCTTTATGTCTGCTGTTGTGCCTTGGAGTTCCTACATACCTTCTCTTACACAGCAGAGAACAGAAAAAAGACCCTGCTTTTCCAGCAAGGTGTGCAATAAGCCGGGAGCTGGAAGAGAGTGGCTGAGCAGTGCCTTTGCTGCAAACAGCTCTGCAGAGGCAGTTGGAGAGGCAATCTTATTATTTTCATTCATTTGTTCATTACTCTTAATGGTGATGAGAAATTTCATTGAGTCAGATTTTGCTTTTTATCTTTTAAGATCAAGCTGGTATACTCTGACTGTTTTGTGCATTTTGTGTGCAGTTCCCTTCTGTGTCAAGAAGAGTCAGTGCTGTTGGCAGACTGTTAGATTATACTTTTTTCATCTCTGCAGTACAGCTGTAATAGAATAGTAACTGCAGTTTTTTTCTTTGCATTGTTATTGTACATCATCAGATCAAATTTCAGAACATCTAGTCACTGCTTACCTTTTTCCAGTCCTATATCTGTAGACATCTTATATGACTATATCTTTATCTGTTTTTCACACAATCAATGAAGTTGGAAGGGACCACAATGGGTCACCTGGTCCGACCTCCCCGATCAAGCAGGCTCAAAACCAGTGTTTTCCTTTGTGTTCTTCTGGTCTCTGTCTTTAGCTGTTGCCATTTATCAGTTATATGGACATCTTTGGTTTTATTCTTTTGTTTATTTGTTTGCACAGCCACCTCTTATGCCATTTGAATGGCATTCATATGCATTGAACAAGGAGCCATAAATGCAGTCATGCAGATTTTGAAAGAGCCCTCTGTGAGGCTTGTGCTCCAAATGGGGCTAATTGGTTGCTTCACTCTCCATCATTTCCCTACATCAATGGATTCTGCTGCACAACCATCTGCAGTAGAGAGCAAAAAGTGGGTTTCAAAAGCAATGAAAAACTTTATAATTTAATGCCTAGAAACTTGTTATGTTTTTCTTTCAGATAAGCATTTTCGCTCTGAAGAATCACAAAGATGGATTTTAAATAAAAAAAATATGGACCTTATCGAAGGAAAAAAAGTGCTATCCGATCAGTTAAACTAGAACATGTATCTGTTAATAAACTCTTGCAAAATTCTTTTGTTCTTTAATTAGGAAAGCCAATATGATCAATTAAGAGGAGGATTACCACTGTTCAAATATTTGACTTACCCTTTTTTATGGTTGAATTTTACGTGTTTTTAAATAATTGTGTATTTGCCTCCCAACAATAAATAATTAAACCTATGTTTTGCTACTTGGAACAATATGAATAAAACAGGATGAAGAAAAATACTGATATAGAAATGGGTTTATCTGTAAGAAGATGTATTTGCTGTTGTGTAGGGCCCCTACTCACAGGACATTTGTGCTCTTTTTTGCAAAGATGAGCAGGTGAGTGGAACACATTTCATTTTCTTGGCTTTACTATTGGCTCTAGGAATAGAAAAGTTGAAATGTTCTTAAAATTTCCCCAAATCTTTTAGGCTGCACAATGTTTTCTTAACTATATTTAAAAAAACAAACAAACAAACAAAAATCCAAATGCTTGTTTATTTCCTATTAAAAGTACCTGGAAGCCTACCCAATTGTCTGGTATTATGTGCTGGGAGCATCATGTGTGTTCTGAGACTAGAGTTCTTGTCTTGCAAACACTGGTGAGGAGACACACAGGTGCTGTGCCTGAGCAGAGTGTTTAAATGGGAATCGTGATGAATTCTCACTGTGGAGACTGGTGGGGTCATGGGGGATTTATTCAAAATATGTTCAAGTCTTTGTACAAAGGTTGAGTAAGCTTAGGGAAACTAGTAGAGGGGGCAGATGTGTCGGACTTCTTGGATAAGTCACTTAGAAAATCCAGAGAAAATTGCAGATAAAGCAGATAATGGACCTGTGGGGTAGGATAAACTTTAAGTGTATTAAAAAGTTGGTGTGTGTATGACCAGCTTCAGACACAACCAGCCATGTTAAGAATCTGTACAGGCACTTTTGTCTACCGTACCCACTGTTTTTTCTCTCTGGTGCCTGAGCAGAAGATAAGAAATTAGAAAGGGCAGGAACATGTTTCTGAGGCATTGAGAAGAGTCAGATTGGGCTGACCTTGGTCCCACTGCCTTCATCACACATACAGTTTCCCCCCAAGCTAACCAACCACACCAACAGCCCTGGAGTGGAGAGCAAGAGAGGAAGTGGTGGTTTTCGATCTGTAGTGCTGTTTGTTGCTGCCTGGAGCTAACACCTTCTACCTGATTTGCTGTACTGGGCTTGGGAAAGTCCCCATGTTCCAGGAATTCACATCCAGAACAGACTTCGCTTGGCCTACTGTGTTGAGGGAGGGGAGAATAAGTGTCTTAGTATGCCACATATTTATCCTGCCTCATGTTCTTGGCATGAGCTCTTCTGATGCCTGTGAGAAGTCTTGGGCTGCCTCTTCTGAGCCTGAGTATGATGGAATCATGTATGTGACAGAATACCCAGAGGGGATGTAAGGAGTCTGCTCCATCGGCAGAGGTAAAGGGGCTAAGATGAGAATAAAGAATGTTTTTTGTGGACGTACCTCACACCATGAGGTGATGCACCTTGCTTCAGGCAGAGAAAACTCGTGAGAAGATATTTAGGAAGGCACGGGTGGAAAAGGAAGAACTGAGGGTGATCCAGCTAATCATTTCTGCTCCCGGTCTGTGCCTATTTTCCTAGATGTATACATTCTGCAAATATAAACCAAAACATTTAAGTGATGCTTATTCTTTTGTGTTTAAAACACAGCTTATGATCAGTTACCTTGAACAAGAGCTGATTTAATTGGCTGACTTTTATTTTTGTATTAAATGACTCTGGAAGATAAAAGTTGAGAGAATTCAATCTTCAGTCTATTATAGCAGCTCTAAATTATTGATGAGCTCTACAGTAATCTTCAAAACTTGTCACCTGCCTCTGTTTCTGGAACTGTTTCCCTGCATTGTTGTTCTGTGGCATCCAAAATACTATGGTCTTCCTGTGACAAATTGTGCTAGCAGAAGCATGATGTGAGCTGATACAACATTTTTTCTTTTTTTGAAACTTATTTATTAAATGCATCTTGTGAAGCAAACTGTGGTGAGAAGCACTAGTGTAATCATGTGGGTATTACCTGGGTAGTGAGATCCTCGTCATTTTGTGCTAATTGCCTATTTTCATAACTCTTTTAAGAAGTATAGAGAATTCAGCTTCCTGAACACATTCTACTGTGATCATACTGTTCCCTAAATTAGTCTTTCTTGACGATGGTAGCACACTCTCCTTCCTATCTGAAATTATATCACATGTTGATATAATTGATATTGTTGAATATGTGTTCATATATGTTCTGTTGCACAGACATCTTATTTCAGTAAGAAGGTTGTTAATTCATAGATCAGTATACAATGTAAGGAGTAGTAAAGAGCTAGACAATTCTCATGAAATGTGCTATGAATGCAAGTTGTTACTGTTTATCTGATTATTAAAGGCAAAACAGAAACATACCTTTTGAGATTTCTGTTTGACATTAGGCCACAGTGGGAAGCTGAGGTTGAGTGGTGCAGAGATAAATGATGATTACAGAAGAAAGCTTTTCAGAATGAGATATGACAAAAGCTGTTTGAGGGAACAAATAAAACAAGTGTCTCACAGCAATTTACTCTTGTCCTCACTTCCATATGCGCCTGTAGGCTTTTTAAGGGAATTGATGATGGTGAAGATGATAAGGTTACAAAGCAAGGAGGTTATGGCTGTTCAAGAAATCAGATCATAGAGAAGAAAGGCAAAAAAAGAAACAAGAATAAAAGCTGGAGAAGGAGGAGAAGGAGGATGGACAGTAAAACTGGCAGACTGCAGTGGTAAGCATGTGGTGGGGCAATTGAGATTGCGAAGACGAGTGAAGGTTTGTTGTCTGGTAGGACTGACTAGCAGCACCTTGAGAAAAGGAATACTTAAGCAGGAGGGAGAGACCATAGATTGTGCTTGCAAAAATTCATGCAGAAACCCTGGTGCAAGAGGAGCAACAGCAGTGAGCAATGGAAGGGGAAGTATGTGAGGGAGCCAGAGTGGGTACAACGGCACTTGTGTAGGATGAAAAACGGAGCTGGGAGTAGCATAAAAGCCAGAGATCAAAACTGGGTCAGCCAGAGATCAAAACTTACGGTGCAGTGAGGTCTGGCGGCTCCCAGGGGACTTGGATTGTCAACCAGGGACACCAGGGCAGCCCCAAGCCTGAGCATCGGGCACCTCCCTCAGGACAGGGCTGAGGCTGGGACAGGACATGGGCCTGAGAGTGGGTGGGGGTCAAGATCAAACACAGCCTTGAGATGCAGGGAAGAGCCACGGTGATGTGCATCTCTGCAGACAGTTGTCAGAAAGTAAAATGGGGAAGGCAAGATGTGGTACTTGTGGTTGTATTTTTCTGAATACACGAAGTCGGTTAAATGTCATAATCATCCATAGATTTTGTTACACTGTTGTATTTGTTGATGTATACTGCTGTCTTAACATATTGTTTAAAAGTGGTAAGAATATGTAAGCAATTAAAAATGTGAGATAAAAATATAGTAGTAATATTCATAGCTTCTTTAGCTAGGTACTGATCTTCCTCACCTTATTTATAGAAAACAATGTGATGAATAATGGTTCAGCTTTTATTTTTCTTTTTGATAAATAATAATATTTCTCAATTATGATAAAACGTGCTGCATATCATCTGGAAAAAAGGAGATGGTTTGAGCTTTAGTATTAAGTGTTAGTGTTACTCTCTAATCGATGCATTAATACATGTCCCCAAATGCTCTTGCTCTAGCAAATTTCCCTAAATGTGATGCTTGGAAGCTGGTCATGCATTTACATGCAATGTGAAATTGAAGGTAATCCTGTGGGCATAATTTTACTCAGAAATGTTTTAACATCATTAATAATGTATATGTGTAACAGGCTTAAGCAAGCCATAGACTGGGTCACTTCTGATCTGCACAATAATTATTCCTGCATGCAATTAGTATTACAATAAGTGTGTAAGAATGGGGCAGGAGAGTATACATATAATATATTTTTAGAGGCTAAATAATCTTTTGATTGATGACACGATCCAGTTCAATTTAACTTGCTTACTCTGGCTTGGTGTAAAAAATTGGTTTTTTGACTAAAGCTCATGCTATTTCTCTAAGAGAAGAAGAAGGGGTAATGAGTATTAGTGGAAAACTACAAGAAAAAATTTGTACTTTAAACAAGGCTGTTTTAGGTAATTGTGATCATTCACCATTGCAGATGTGACCATTTCTCTAAGGGTCACTTTAGCAACTTTTAGTGTGTATGAACAGACTCTGAAAGTGAGATTTGCTTATGAAGACAACAGATTGTTTATCAGTCAGCAAACATAAAAGTAGGGTTTAATGAGCTTCTAGACTAAGCATCCATATGTATCTGGTCTGTGACAGGGCGTCTGAAAAGCCTTTGCTGGCCAGGCAACTGTGAATGAGGTGGAGGAGGGCCACCCTTCTCTGCTCCCTGAAACAAATCTTCATCTCTAAGTTGTTGTCTGCCGCCGCCTTTGGGATTGGATGCCTTTCTACATTGATGTTTTTCCTCTAGAATCCTTAAGCTGGTAACAAGTCCCATGTTACCAGTCCTACTTCTGTTTCTGGTTTCACCTTTCTGACCTTGCGCAACCATCCTCTGAACTTTCCCTGAGGTCTTTCCCATATCTTTCCCACTCAGCAGAAGTCAGCCTTAGGCCAGATGAGACTGCTGTGGCATGTCAGAGCTAGACCTTGGGCCACAGCAAGATCGACCCCCAGAGGGAGGTCACACAGTAAGAACATTAAATGCTGAGGTCACATATTATCCAACATCAAATGAGGAAGTTAAATTAAATTAATTATTCCTGAAATTGAAGTGTTTGGGAGCCTTATGCGCTTTTAAAAGGTTTTTTTGTTTTCTTAATTTGCAAAAAACTCGTGTTAATGCTGAACATTAGCTTTGTGGCTGTGCTTCTGTTACCCTTATTTCAGGTGTTAATAATATGCTATGAGAAATGCAGTTTGAAGAGGCAGCAAACGTGACTCCTGGCTTTAAATGCTCAGTTCAAACCTCCCAGCAAATCATTTGGAAGTTTATCCAGATACACAGTCTGCAATTGTCCTTTCTTCTCTTTTAGGTAATGGGCCCCATCATGATCGAAGTTGTGTTTACAACCAGAGCAACATAGTAGATGGAGTTTATTGCCTCCCAATAGCACACTGGATTGAAGTCTCTGGACATACTGATGAGATGAAACATACAACTGACTTCTATTTTAATATTGCAGGACATCAAGCTATCCATTACTCCAGGTAAAAGATAAGTGCAGAGTTTGGCTGGTGTCAAATATTCGAACAGAAAATCTGAACTGGCATGTCAGAAAACTGCATTTGAATATTTGTTTGTATGTAAGTAACAGTAAAATTTAAGAAAGATTCAGCAGCTCTTTGCAATTAAATGTCACTTTTGTTAATAAAAAGGAGAGATTCTGAGTTCAAGGATACCTGCCCCCTGTACAGGTGTGTTTAGTTGCATCATATCTGAAAACATTTTGTGGTAATTTATGGATAGTAATTTTCAAATGCTTGTCTATATACACATGTCAAATTGCATGTATGTTATGTGTTTTGTTTGGGATTATTTTAGTGAAGAAGTTCTGGGAAACAAAAAGAATAAATTCCAGCACCAGGAATTTAGTTGTAGCAGCAGCTGCAATTAGTGACAGCCTGCGTAGATAACTTCTGCTTCTGGTCATGTATTTAACAAAATACTAAAACTTAGACAAGTCTTAAATTGTTTATACTTCCATAGTGTTCACCTGAGTCCACTGTCTCTGTGGTGAAGCATCCTGACTTGAATTAGGAGACATAAATCTCAAAGAAGGCACTCACCCTTTAGGGCTGCAGATGAAGCACAAGCCGTATTTAGAGCCACAGCCTTAGCACTGGTGGTTAACAGAGTACTGAGGAATTTTGGAGCCTTTGTAACCTTTTTCCCCATCTCCACTCAATAGATATGGCAGCAAGTTTGTGGATTGATAATGGTTGTGTAAATGCTGGCTGCCTTAATACGTCGCATACAGCTGGTGTTGATTACAGAGCAGTTAGTAATCCCAAAGGGATGTGTATTTTTTTACGAAACCAAACTGCCTCATACATTTGTTAGGTCTTAGCATCGATTTGTGTGAATTTCTCCAGGCCACTGTTTGAGCTACAGCAACCTCACCATCTTGTCTTCTCTTTGAACTCTTTGTCTCCACAATCTCACAGGGTAGGAAGTAGAATTGTCTTTTTCTCATTAGAATTGCAGTGTGTGAGGGACAGACTTATTTCTCTTGTATCTTATGGAATATCATGGATTCACAAACACTGTCAGGCATATGTAAATATTTGTGTGACTTGTTACCTTTTCCATGAGACCCCCTCGAATTATATAATTCACCTGACAGACTAAAGTGTTATCTGGGTCTTAAGCATCTGTTTCCAACATCCTATCAGAGAAAAATCTTGTTTATTCCAAAGCACAGACTTGTCAATCCCAAATAATCTTTGTTTGTCAAGGAAATTTTTTGAGAAAGAACAACTGTCAGAAAGTGAATATCTAAGTCCCAAAGGCTAACTTATCATTCCTTCCAGAGGCAGCAGTGATCCATTTGTTGCTGCCTTATCTGAATGACTATGTATTTCAAAAATTAGGTTAAAAGCTGCAAATTCTTCTAAAGAATATTTGAAGAAAATTTTCTGAGCTGTTTAGTCTTTTCCAGATGAGGAGCTCCTCCTCCATTCCCCTCTCATACACAAATACCTTCATTGAAAAATACTTCTATATGTTCATCTTAGTAATTCTTATCTAATTTCTTTAAGCTATATTAAGTAAGCATACCCTGTAACAGTCTTGTTGCGTAATTACTTTTAATACTTTGAAGATATGCAACCATAAATGTCTTTTTTAATATCTTTATTTTGTAATAGATTTATTGATTCAGAGGAGTACTACGAAGACGATTGTAATCAAAAAAAAAGGAAAAAATATCATCTACATACCCCCTCTGCCCTCCCACCCCAGCCCCAAGCAACAAAAAACCCAAACAGAAGCAAAAAGCCAGTCCCTCTGCCTGTAGAGTTAACAGCTCAGAGGATAATTAGATCATTGTTTTCTAGCTCAGATCACTTTTTTTTCACACTGTAGTGAAGGCAGCAGTACTGCGAGCAGCTTTATGACCAAAAATTCTGAGCGCTGTCACTGGTTGTAGGATCTTTACAGAGTGGTGGAGGCTGAAGTGATTTATCAAAGAAAACTTTTGATGTGAGCCCCTCCTCTACATTGCTTCACTTAATAGTATTGCCATATGTGAATTAGCTGGAGAGAAAAGTTTTTCTCTGTCAAAGGGGCCTCTCACATGACCCCTGGGACTGATTTTACTTCTCTGCCTAATCACCACAATTAGAAACAGTTGCACTGAGTTTTGCTGCCACCTTGCTGCTTCATAAAACATGAGCTTCTACTTTAAATGGGCTGCAACAGGATGAGAAGTGTGCTTCTGACTGGTACCAAAAATAGTTTTGAATCATGCTGAGGCTGATTACAGTGCTTTGAAGAATCAGATTTTTCTTATTTGATACAGATGTATAATAAGTCAGTGAATTTACATTTAAACTTATATTTAGAGAACTCACTTTGTGTTGGTCATTGAGATAGGAGAGTATATGGTGTGGCTTTTAAGCATAGTAGGAGATGAATTAATTTTTTGTAAGTGTGAAATGGAATTTTCCTACAGCTTAAAAGTCATGACTGATACCTCTATGGTGTTAGTATTCACTTATTTTGGACATTTAATGACAGATATATCCAAAATTGGATTCAGAAAAAAAGATAGCATTCAGTTTTTCTTTTGTGTTAGATATTACTGCAATAAGGTGCCTTCAAATTGCAGGAGAGTTTGCCTAGGACACAGTAGTTTTCCAAAGTACATTAGAGTTATTGTAATCTTTTCTGGGAGAAGATGACTTCAGAAAACTTGTAATTCTGGGGCACGTTATCTCTGTTTCAGTTCCATCTGTGAAAGGTGGAAATTCCTAATTCGTAGATGTTATATACCTTATTATTAACATAAAAGCCTCTGTGATTCTCGGAAGAAAGGCTCTGCATAAGAACAGGAGAGGAAGTGACACCTGACATTCCAAAACACTTCAATAATACGTTGGAGACAGTGATTGTTGATGGCAGAATTAGGTGCTATGGAAATTAATATCTCCAATAGGGAAAGCCTTCTACTTACAGTTTTCTATTTTCAGATTAATTTTAGATATTTGCTTTTTGTGAATCATATTTCTCAAATCCGAGGAAGAAAAATTATTTTTACGTGCTCTGCATATAAAATGCAGCTAAACTGGATTCTGTAAGTGAGTGATTGGGTTCCTGTAACTGGATATAATCCAAGAAATTATGAAGCGGGCAAATGTATTAGTATCATCAGTGTTTATGTCCCTAATTTTTTTCCCCTAAGACAAAACAAAGCTAAAGGTAAAAGAAAATTGACTCTCATGCCTGGAAATGCTGTTTTTGTTTCTTGATGGTTGCAAATGAAATTTAATTTGTGATATAGTCTTTACAAATGCTTTGTGGCTTGTTGGTAGGATGAGTTTCCTTCAAAACTGCTGTAGTAATGGAGGTTGTAACCTAAGCTAAATGTTAAGTGGGAATGGTCAGGAGCATCACATAAAATGTGTGGTCCTGATTTGTACTAAGTGTTAAAGTAGATAGGTGAGTGAATGAAGAATGATCCAGGGCAAAATGCAGATCCTTCTTATTTACCTTTTGAAGGCACTAGAACAGTATTCTGCTGATAGAGCACAGAGCATCTTTAATTGGGGTGGAAGACAAGAATCTGGTTGAGTATAGTTGGTTCAGTATGAAATCAGAATTATCTTTGAATTGTGCAACTGAAAAAAATACAAGCAACAGTGCTTCTATTTATTTTTATTCTTTAATTTTTCTTCCTACTGGTTTTAATTAATTCAAAAAATAAAATATCCTTCTGTTTTAAATGTAATTTTGAAATATTTTTTTTTATTACTGAATTATAAAAAAGGCTTTAAAGTGTAAACTGTCACAAAAAAACCCTGGAGTGCTGTGACCTATGCTACTGTAACAGAAAGCTGCACTGCTATTTTATGCCTGCATTATGAATTAAGAGAAGAGGTGATGATGTCTGCAGAGATTACCATAATTAACATTAAAAGCTGAGAGCTAGCTGTCCCCTGTGCCTAAAGAATGCTTGTGATATTAGAGAAAAGACTAAGAAATAATGAGCTCTAGAACAAAAGTTGTCGATTTTATTCTAGTAAAATGATTCTGATCAAAAAGACTTAACATCAATAGGAGTTCAGCCTTTGATTTCAGTACTTGGGGCTCTAACTGTAAAGTTATCTGGCCATATTATACATTAAATAATGAAAATATTCTAAGGCACATTTTGTGATATGTTTATCCCATGAACTAGGATATCTGACTACTCTTTGAATATTTTTTTTATTATACTGAGTTATAGACTGAAATTAGTCTAAATTAGAGCCATTTTTTACTTACCAATGGGAAACACCTTTTATAGAATAGCTTAAAGGTTAATTCTATTTTTTGTTTCTTGTATATCTTCATTTTTTTCTACATCACCCTCAACTACAGCTGTGAAACGCTTTTACTGGTCTCTGCTTTGAAGAAAATGGGTTTCAAATTAGTGTAAAAAGTGACATTTAACCAATTTTCTATTTAAGTTATTGAAAATTAAGAAGGAGTGTGAAGAAATAGGAGCAAGAGTGAGAAGACAAATTATGAGGCTAGAATTTGATCAGTTTTTAAAGTCTTTATTTGTTTCCATTAATTTAATTTGGGTGACCTCTATATTGGGCAACAAATGCCTTTTTCTTCCACATTTGTTGCCTGTGCAAACAAGAAGTTTCTCATTTCATGAAATCCCCACACTGTACGCTCCATAACAATGGCTAAAAACTTGAAAACTGATTTGATTTTGCATGGGCAGGATGTCATCTGCCTTTGGGATAGCCTAAGCCAGGCTGTTGGCAATTTAGATACAAATCTTAATCCTGTGAACAGAAAGAGAGTTAGGACGTGCCAGCTGTGCAGTCACAAGCTATGATGCCTGTCAAATACTGTGGATGAACTAGATGGTGGAAACTCACTTTTCAGTCATTTTGTTTTTCTGAGTATTAGCAAATAGCTGTTGCCTGCGCAGCTCCAGCTTTCTTTCTGTGACCTACCATTTGAGCACTCAAAAGGAGCTTGAAATGGGAAA